TCCTCGTCCTCCTCCTCCTCCTCCTCCTCCTCCGCCTCCTCCCCCTCCTCTCTTCCTCCTCCTCCTTCTCCTCCTCCTCCTCGTCCTCCTCCTCCTCCTTCTTCTGTTCCTCCTCCTCTTCCTCCTCCTCTTTCTCCCAGATTCATGTTGTCACCGCCGATCGCACGCCCGTCGAGCGTGCCAGTGTGTCTTTCCCTTGTCCCCCTCGTCAGTCTCCCCGTCCCCTCCCCCCCCTCGGCTCCTGTCATGAAGGAGACGGATCCTCAGGAAAGAACGTGCTGGATCCTGGGGCAAACTTCTTCCCCAGGGGCAACTTCGGGAGCCCAGGGGCGGGCGAAGGGTCCTGGGAAGCCAACGGCGGCACTCTGAGGCCTGCGCTGTCCCGGATGGGGTTGTCTCTGGGGCCTTTTGCAGGGGCCCGCCATCCTTGCAATCGGGAGGCGGCGGAGTGGCGATGGGGGAGGACGGGGATCGAGGATCGAAATGACTTACACTAAGGGAGCGAAACATGACATAAACATAATAACTCGGAGGTCCGCACGGATTTTTCGGATCGGCGCCGCGGCCACCCGGCGGCGCCTCCAGCGCCGATCCGAGAAATCCGTGCGGATTTCCGAGTCTTTATGTTTATGCCATCTCTCGTTTCCCTATACACGCCTTCCTGGCTGAGCCTGGAGGGCGCATGCATTGACGTCGGCACCGCGTGTCCCTCCCTGCGCTCCGCCGAAGCGAACCTGGGCGCAGGGCGCCCGGGTGCCGGGGTCGACGCCGATGCTTGGCTCAAGGCTCGAATGGCCAGGGCCGATGCATACGACGCGGGACGGGCGCCAGTCGTGCGCGTCCCGCTGGGGATCCCGCGAGTGCCTGGCGCGAGACCGCGGGGACCCACCTGGGGACCGCGCCCGTGCCTGCCGCACGGTGTCGTGCCCATCCGAGCATGGCCCAAACCGACGCTGGCACCACGCATTCTGGCGCACTCCAGCCCGCCAATCGGTCCTGCTGGCGCGCGCCCGCGCGAGCACGCGCGCTCTGCAGCTCAGCGCGGGGGGCGGGGGGCCGTCAGGCCCTAACGGATCTCGACTGGCACAGCCAGCGCGGCATCGCGGACCGCACGTCCTCCTTTTGGGAGGGCAGGGGGGGGCGCATGCGGGGGACGAGGAGGATGAGGTAAGGACGAGAAGAGAAACACACAGCGAAAGCAACATGGTAACGTCACGTGGTACATTACTGCTGATGCAGGCACCCCACGAGGCCGCTGCACGTAAGAGTCTCCACCGCTGAATTGCCCCTGAATGCCGCTCACATCCGCTGCCCCCCTATGTTGATGGCCCTGTTTTCCACCACCACCACCACCAGAATTTGGAGGGGGGAAAGAGGTGGACGATGACGAGGAAGAGGAGGATGATGAGGATGAGGAAAAGGAGGAGGAGGAGGAGGAGGAGGAGGAGGAGGAGGAGGAGGAGGAGGAGAAGAGAGGAGGGGGAGGAGGGGGAGGAGGAGAAGGAGGAAGAGGACGAGGAGGAGGAGGAGGAGGAGGAGGAGGAGGAGGAGGAGAACGAGGACCCCCTCCCCCTCCTACTTCTGGTGGTGGCGGTGGAAAACGAGCCCACCATAGGTCCCTGCCTCGGTCCTGGCTGCGCCTGCGTGTCGCCTCCCGCCTTCCGCCTCTGCCTCACAGGCCCCCTCCTGGCAAACCTGAGGACATCTGGAGCAAATCGTGGCCGCTCCAGCGCGAGCCGAGGCACGGCAGAAGTCGTGAGGCCTTTACGAGGAGCCACGTCCTGCCCCCCCATCCCCCCCCTCCCCGCGCTCGCTCCCGCGAGCAAGAGCCCGAGGATCGGGGTAGCCGACCGTCCGTGGGCCCCCCCTTTGGGCCTCCCTGGGGCGCAGTCGTGGACGCGGCTGCGAGGCAGAGAACGAGAGAGAGAGAGAGGGCGAGCGAGCGAGAGGGCGAGACAACGAGAGAGAGAGAGGGCAAAGAGAGAGAGAGAGAGAGAGAGCGAGAGAGAAAGAAGCAGCGCGGAAGGTCCTTTCCAGGGGAGCCGGAGTGCAACGGGAGCTCCCGGTGCGGCCCGGGGTCCGCCCTCCGCTTCATGGCGCCACCCCGCGCCGCCCCATGCTGGGGGAGACGCAAGGCTCGGGTCTGGGGGACTCGGGCTGGCCCGACGGGGACATCCTAAAACTGACGGGGCCCAATCTGGAATCTGGCGCGAAAAATCCCGCTGCAGACACCCCACGAAAACTGCACCGTCAAAATCCAGGATGCGCTCATCAAAAGGCGTCGGCAAACCCGAGTTCCGACCTGCTCGAATCTTACGCTTCCCCGAGATGCCCCGCGTGCCGTGCGCGGGCTCACCGCGGAGCTGGGCTGGAGGTCGGGCCTGTCCCTCTACAGGAGGAGTAGTCATAAAAGGGCACCAAGCAAAAAATGTCTTGGCACAAGGTTTTGAATATTGTTGACCACTTTTTTTCGGGGGAGCATTCTCCTTATACACATATATGTATATATACACATTTATAACTATAGCTAAATATGTATAGTTATATATATATATATATATATATGTGTGTATGTATTTCGCCCAATCGTCTAACATCCGCCTGTAGGACGACATGCCCGACCTATAAAGTTGGGCTCGAAGTGCGGGCGGCATCGGCGGCGGGACCCGCGTCCGTCTCGGGGGCTCCACTGTGCTCGGCGGCGCGCCGCGCGCGGGCGCGGGATATCCAGGGCCTGTTCCGCACGAGGGCCCGATGCTGAAAGTTGCCGGCGTCTCGTTTTCCCCTCCTCCTCCTCCTCCTCCTCGACCTCCTCGTCTTCCCCCTCCTCGTCCTCATCCTCCTCCTCCCCCTCCAACTCCGCCATGCTAGGACAAACCCGAAGAGGAAGAGAAGGAGAGACAGAGAGAGAGAGAGAGAAACGCACAGGTGGGTCATCCCATTGCAGATGTATGCGCCATGCGCAAGCCCTGCACAACCAGAGATGTACTTTGGAATGGCTGCGCGCATTCGTGTGCGGGCATGGCGCTTCCATGCCACGCGCGCGGGCAGATGTGAGCGATCTTACAAGACCAGACAACAGAGACATCAAGCGAAGAAGACAGCAGGGATCCGCCGACCCCTTGGGAATTATCGGCGCGTGAGCTGCTTCCCCCTCCCGCAAACCCCTCCCCCCGGAGCCCAGTCCGGTCGATTGGGACGGGGAGGGGGGCCGTCTGGCCGGAGCTCATCAAGGGGGATCTGGCCCTTCCTGGGGCCACTTCTGGGAGGTCCACGACCGCTTTCTGGGGCCGCCCCTAAAGGCCCCCAAGTTGAGCAGGGACCGACCGTCCCGGCATTCCTGTAGTCATACCACGAAATGTTCTTAGAACCCCAAACTGTTCCAATAACAGAAACAATGTCCTTAGAACAGAAACCCGATGTGTTCAAACAAGACAGGCCCAGCCAGAAAGGTTCTAAGAACATTGCGTTTGAACCACAAAAGGTTCTTAGAACATCGTCTGGTGGAGCTATAGGCGAGCCGGGACGCTTCGCCACTGCTTGACCAAGACGGTCCAAGAGGGCCCCGAGGCGCCAAAAGATCGCTCCAAGGCGTCGAGCATGGGCCGACCGATCGCTCCGAGACGCCTACAGCATGGGCCGGCGACGGCCCGGGAGGCCGCCAAGACGTCCTACGAGAGGCCTCCCAGGAGGCGAACATCTTCGAATCCCCGGGGGGAAACGTGGATCTCTAGCCCATACGATGTTTCCTCCTTCGCAGCGCGGGAGCCCTTCCAAGATGCCTCCAAGACCGCCCTGAGACGGCCCCATAAGCTCCCAAGAAGCCCCCAACACGGCACAAGAGGCGCCCAAAACGACCCAAAAGGGCTCCAAGACGGCCCCAAGAGGGGCCCGAGAGGGGGACCACGAAACGAACATTCCAGCCGTCCGCCCCTAGAGGCTCCCAGGAGGCCACAAGAGGCTCCAAAAAGGCGCCCAGACGCCCCCCAAAGGCCGCGGAACGGACACTTCGAACCTTCGGCTCCAAGACTCCCCCAACAAGGCCCACGGACCACCAGGACCCCCCCCCAAAACAAACAAAGGGGTCGGCGGCGTGGCGTAAGCCTAAGAATCAGAGAGCACCAATGCGAATGCAATGATTGTCCATCATCGTAATATTCCCCCTCGCTGCGCGCATTTGGCGCGTCGTCGCTGTCTCGTCGCGCATTTGACGCCTCCCTATCCAGCAGCTAACGAGTTTGGCGTTGCTCGCACGCTCGCTAACTGTTTTGCCCACGCGCTTTTTGCGTGTCTCTGCTTCGTTCGTTCGTTCCCATCTCCAGACCTCTTTCCCTCGCGCAACCAATGGCGAACCCGTCCTCATTGTAGTTCCTCTCTGCCTCCCGCCGCCGATCTTCCCCATCGTCTACCAAAGACTGCTGTCAGGACCCCCCTGCCGAAACTGCCGCTACAACGTCCTCACGTCTGCGGCTAAAAAGAGAACCACCGAAGTATCCTCACCCTCCACGCCACGGCTGCCATGTTTTGTCCAGTATGGGGTACAACCTGCCTCCCCGGTATACACGATTCCCGAGACAAAACTCCAATGCGCCCTACACGCGATTTGAATTCAGTCGGGCCTGTCCCCCTACAGGGAGATTTTGGGCGAAAAACTTAAAAGTACCCCCCCAAATTCCCCAAACAAGCTCAACCATGGTCAACAGATCCCTATACTATGTTGTTTGACTATTTTTGACTTTCCCCCCTGCAGAGGGATAGGCCAGATTTAAGATTAGAACTTTCAACCGAAGTGTCCTCCAGGTCACAACCCACGACTACAACCGCGCAGTGCCGCACCATCTACGTCATATCTCGCTGGCGCAATTTGCTCCCCTATCTCCCCTTCCCCTATCTCCCCTATCTCTCCTTGCCCCGAAGCTATCAAAATACTCAACCAAATAGTCGCGCCTTCTGGTTGGAATCACTATGTGCATCGCCATCCATGGTATACCAAATCCATCTACTTTCCCTAGCCCCCTTGCTCAATCGATCTCCCGTGCCCCCACCAATGGGGAATACAGCCACCCACGCATAACCTCACCCTGCATATGGCACTTTCCTTCAGCGCGTTGATAGATGGAACCAGCAAGTGAATTCGAGAACGGGGTACGCTCAACCAAATTGTCCACCTCGTGTTAGAACCGCTGAACGGCATTGACCAAACGATTGCAGGGTGAACAACACCCTCCGTGGTTTCAGCTACCGTCTGATTTCCCTAGGACTACTACGGCCCGATGGCTGGAAACTAATGCAACGGACAGCGCCCCGTAGACTGGGCAGCAAACGACTCTGCGCCACGTATCCGCGTAAATCGGCCCACTCGTCAGGTCTGGAACGCCTCCCGGAGCCACGAACACCTTCCTCCCTTCTCCTCCCTCCTGCCCCCCCCTCCTCTCCCATTTCGCTGTTCCTCCCCCCTCTTCCGCTTGCCTCCTCCGCCCCCGCCACCTCCTTTTTCTTGAGCAAGCTGCGAGGCACCAACCTGCAGCGTACGTGGGCGGCGGCGTAACCGCCGCCGGCAAGAGAGTATGAGGCCTCCTCGAACGCGTACTGGGCTCTTTGAGGCTAGCAGCAAGTGCGGCGTATGGCCCGCCCCCTCCTGTGCACAGTTTCCCCGGGGCCGTCGGCGACCCGAGGAGGCGGAGGAGGCGGAGGAGGATGTGGAGGAGGATGTGGAGGAGGATGTGGAGGAGGATGTGGAGGAGGGGGAGGAGAAGATGGAGGAGGAGGAGGAGGAGGAGGAAGAAGAGGAGGAGGAGGAGGAGAAGGAGGAGGAGGAGGAGGAGGGAGGAGGTGGAGAAGGAGGAGGAGGAGGTGGAGGAGGAGGAGGAGGAGGAGGACGGGTCGCCTAAGCCCACCCCCCACCTTCCTGGTCCTCCCCCTCCTCCTCGCCGCCCCCCTCCACGTCTTCACTCGCGTCCGCCTCCTCCTCGCCGTCCCCTGCTCCTCTTCTCCTGCAGATGTCCCCGGAAGCCCGTGGAGGACCTCCGGAGATCCCTGGGAGGCCTCTTGAAGGCATCCGGGCGCCATCCAAAAACGCACGCTCGAAGAACATATCATATTAATAATACATCGGGCATGTCCCCCTAAAGGCGGATTGTGGACGAAACGTTAAACATATTCAAACATATTCAAGAACAGTCGGAAATAATCAACATATAACAGAAAAATCGTCCCCAGGCTATTTTTGAATATTCCTCCTGTAGAGGGACATGCCCGACTTAGATTAACATCTTCAACCATAATCTTCCATCCCTTTCCTGTCACGATGCGTCCCCATCAGCGCACCACCAAACGAGACGTTCGGGCGGGCCGGGCGTCGCCTAAGACTTCCCCGCAGTTTCCGAGATGCCATCAGCCCCCATGGGCGCTTGCGGTTTAGCGAGTCAGCTCTTCCAACCTCCTCTTTCCTGTGGGAGGCCTCTCCCCCTTCCCCCTCTCCCTGGGTCTGGGTGGGCCTGGTCGGGGATCGTTGGAGCGTCCAAGATGGCCAAAAGGGGGGCCCAGGTAGCTCAAGATGGCTTCCGAGATCACACGAGATGGCCCAACTTGGGAACGTGGAGCCTCCAATCAACAAATACCTGGACACGTCGGAGCCGCCCCCCCGCCCGAAACAATTGAATCGCCAGGGGAACCCCCCTCCCCCCCCGGACACCGGCCTCTCTAACCGGGCACCCCCTATCCCCTCCAGAAGGGGGGGTCGAAATTGGAGGGGGGGCGCCCTGTCCAGGGGGGGGGGATCGGACGCCCCCCCCCTCCCCCGAATAAAACCCGATTCAGGATCGATTGACCTCCAATCAAATCCGACTACAGCTGGACCCCACTTTAGTAGCTTCCCAGTCGGGCTCGATCCAAATATGATAGAATCCTGATGTAGCTGGATCCAGCGCTGATAACATCCCAATCGGGCTCGGTCTAGAATTATTAGAACCTTACAATAGCTGGATCCAGTTCTACCTGAATCCTTACAAGGCTCGACCTAGCTCTAATATCATCATACGGCTCGACCAAGCATTAATAGTATCCTACTGAGATCAATCGTCGTCATCGTGTCGCTGCTCTACGGCGCCGGCGCTTGCCGTCGTCGGTTGCCACTGGAAGGTGGCCCTCCATGCGGCGCCATGACCGTGCAAGGACAGTTTAGTGGCCAAGGCGTCTCCCGAAGACCCCTCCGAGAGGACAACACCCTGCCCAAATCTGTACGGTTCTGTGCATGCTCGCCTGTGCGCTCACAGTGGACTCTTGAGGCCTCGGGATGGCTCCAAGGTGGCCCAAGAGAGGCCCAAGACGGGCCCAAGATGGGCCCACGATGGCCACACGAGCGCCCAAGAGAGC